TCATTTAAAATAAAAATAAAAATGAAAGATGCTACCATTCCTGTTCGCCCAAAGGTAAAATGTTATTTTAGTGGTTTCATAAGTTGTAAATCATTAATTAAACCGCGTTAGATTCTAGAGTTTCCTTTCCAACTAAGAAAAATCGAAGACGACTAGATCAGAATTCAGAACCCACACAGTTGCAGTGTTATCTGCGTGAAATCAAGCATCCAATTGACCTGGTAATCAGCGTTATCATCCGATCCGTCATCGATTATGGCTGCTCCGGCGTCGTCATCGGCGACAAACATCATGCTCGCAATCTACGAGAAGAAAACCGTCGCGGTCGATCTTTATCGTCCTCTTCGCAACTACATAGTCTTCAATTACTCCGAGCGCGAGGCTCAAAACCTCGAAGATGACCTCGAAACCCTAAAGGAGATGCGCAACAACATCGAGCGTTCCTCAGCTGCTGACTCCCTCCCCGCCCGCCGCGATCTTCTTCAGAACTACTTTAAAGCCCTAACCGCTGTCGAATCGAGGTTTCCGATCTCCTCCGACAAGGACCATGTCAACTCCGTGACGTTCACGTGGCACGACGCTTTCAAGAATAAGAACAAGGCTTCGCAACAGAACATTCACTTGGAGAAGGCAGCGATTCTGTTTAATTTGGGTGCGGTGCATAGTCAGATTGGGCTGACTTTTGATAGGTCGACGGTGGAAGGGAGACGGCAGGCTTCACACTCGTTTATTGCTGCGGCGGGTGCTTTTGCGTTTTTGAGGGATAATGCGGCTACGAAGGCGTCTATTGGGAGTTCGACGACTGTGGATGTTTCAGTGGAGTGTGCAGGGATGTTGGAAAGGTTGATGCTGGCTCAAGCGCAGGAATGTGTGTTTGAGAATACCATTGCTAAAGGGAGCACTCCTGGGGTTTGTTCCAAGATTTCCAGACAGGTAGGTGTTGATCATTTTTCGTTTAATTTCTTGTTTAAATTCTTTATAGGTGTGTTGATCTTGTGCAATATAAGCTACCGCGTCAGAATTAAGTAGTTGCATCATGCAAATGGCTGACACAACCCTTATGAACCTTACTTAGAAGCTTAATCCATCTTACAAAAGTGCAATTTGTTCAAATATAGGTGGGTCTCTTTTATGAAGAAGCCCTAGCTGCACTTAATGTTGCACCTCTTACCCAACACTTTGACAAGACATGGCTGTCCCATGTTCAGCTCAAGGCAGCATTGTTTTATGCAGAAGCTTGTTATAGATACAGTTTAGAGCTCCATGAAAAAGAAGAAATTGCAGAAGAAATCGCACGTATAAAAAGTGGCATCGGTGCTTTAACAGATGCCAAAAAATCATCTCCAAAGGGTGCAGCACAACAAATACTCGATGCAATCAACAAGCTAGAAACCAATCTGAATCGTAACCTAGAAAGAGCCATGAAAGAAAACGACAGAGTCTACCTAATGCGGGTCCCACAAGCCAGTTCTTTACAACCTCTCCCAGCATTCGCAATGGTGAAACCTTTAAACATGAACGAGGTGTTGGACGCCAGCAAGGACAAGATGTTTGCAAGTCTTGTCCCTGACAGCAGTGCAAAGGCACTCTCAAGGTACACAGAAATGGTGGATGACATCATTAGAACTCAAGCTGAAAAATTACAACAAGGGAGTGAGCTTGCACGTGTGAGTCTGAAAGAAATGAACTTGCCTGATTCGATTCTTGCATTGGAAGGACACTCTGTTTTACCAACTGCTCTTTGGGAAGATGTTGAAGCAGTTCAAATCAGTGGAGGTCCAGCTGGCTTAGAAGGAGAGCTTCAACAGCTTCGTGATTTGAAAAGGGTTAACCATGAGTTACTTGTGCAAACAGAAGAGCTTCTTCAAAAAGAAGCAGTAGAAGATGGACAGTTTAGAACCCAATTTGGGACTCGGTGGACTAGGCCTCAATCTGCTACTTTGACCAAAAACTTACAGGATCGCTTGAATAGATTTGCAGGAAATCTAAAGCAGGCTGCAGAAAGTGATGTTAAAATTGAACGCTCAGTCAGAGAGAATATGGCTCTCATGTCTATTCTAGATCGTCGTCCTGTATGTTTTCTTGAAAAAAAATTTTAGTTTTTAATTTTTTTTTTTTATTTTATTTTTTATTTTATTTTTAAGATTGATACTTATTCTGTTTATTTGCTAGATTGAATCAGCCCTTCCAACTTTGGCTAAACCAATCATGTCATTGGATGCCAATGAAGATGCTGTAGTGGGGACCCTGAAACAGAGCTTGGTAATACTACTTATATCGTTAGTTATACACTTACCATGTTTTTTTTTATTTTTTATTTTTTATTTATATAGTTTTTGATTTGCAGAGGCAATTGGAGACACTAGGTGCTCAAAGGGCAGGTTTGGAAGACATGTTGAAAGATATGAAGAGAAAGGTGTGTTTAATAATGTTTTTTTTAATCTTTACTGGAGTTGGTGTATATAATGTTTTATTTTGGAATTTTGTATCGATTGGATTTAGGATGATATACTCCCGAAGTTGATGACATCCACGGGTTCATATGAAGATCTTTTTAGAAAGGAGATAGCAAAATACAATCAGATATGTGAAGAAATATCTCAAAACCTTCAAGCTCAGGAACAGTTACTGATACATATTCAGGGTCAAAATCGTCAATTTGCAGGCACCTTCAACATCGAGGATTACAAAGGTAATCTATTTGATCTATTCTCTAATAATTCATGGATTTATTATTAATAAAAATAATATTATGTTTTATGTTTTACAGCTGCTTGTGAGAAATGCTATAAGCATATTGAAGCTGCGGTAGCCAAGTATCGAGAAATCAAAGAGAATATTAATGAAGGGCTAAAGTTTTATGTTACCCTTCAGGTTTGAATTTATTATTTATTTATTTACAAAAATCATTTCCTGGACATGAATAATAATAGTATTAATTTTTGAAACAGGATGCAATCACAAGTGTAAAACAGCAGTGCAGTGACTTTGTGATGACACGAAGCATACAATGCAGGGAAATGATTGAAGATGTACAAAGGCAAATGTCAGGTCTCAGTTTTCAAGATGGAAAAAATTCAGTTAATAATAATAGTAACAATAATAATTACAATTACCCTTCGGCTGCACCACCACAAAGGCCCTCCTCCCAGCCAGAATCTGGCCCTCAGCCACCTTATTACCACCACCACCAGCAGCAACCGCCACAAGCACCACCAGCAGTATATGCTCAGGCTCAGCACCACCCTCCACCACCGCAACAACAGCCTCCCTATGGTGTTCCGCAACAGCAGCCGCCACCGCCTTATCATGGTGGATCGCCGTATCCGCCACCTCAGCAGGGCGGCCAACAGCCACCAGCTGGCGGCTACGAATACGGTCAACCTGCTTACCCTGGTTGGCGGGGCCCGTATTACAATGCACAGCAGGCCCAGCAGCAACCGGGGTCGTTTCCAAGGCCACCTTATACGGTTTCTAATCCTTACCCTCCTAATCAAAGTGGCTACTATAAACAATGATTTTGTTTTGTTTTTTTTTTTTTTTTTTTTTTTTTTTTTTTTATTTATTTTAATTGTGAATGTTTTTTGTGGTATTTGCTTAAAATAATATTGGTTGACTCGATTTACTTAGCTTCATATTGCAGTTGCTTTACAAATTTATATGTAAAGAAGTTGCATACTAAGTAGACGATTGAGTTGGTGTGTACAAAATTATAGGCATCATGAATTAAATGCTATTGTTGTGCTTAGTTTTATATGTTAATAATGATCTGATATTCCAATATCATTCTTATTACGTTATGTTGTGTTATAGTGTTGCCGTTTTTGCTAATACTCTTGTGAAAAGAAAGCCTCCTTTTTTGCCTGATGTTATTATACTATTCAGGGTTGCCTAGGATCTAAGATTTGTAGGATCATCATAAGATCGTATAAGGATCTGATCTCGTTTTTCTAATTTGGTCTGCAGTGTGAAGTTTAATGACACGTATAATCTTAAAAGTATAAATTCTAGAAATTTAATCTCACATTTTTGTTTAATAATCTAACTTATAGACATAAAAGTCTGTACTTTTCACTTAAATCCAGCCTCAATATTCGTTCATTGAGCTTGAAAACAGAAACATCGCCTATTGCATGAAACAACATATACCCATGGTTTTTTAATTGTTGATATATCTAAGTTTTTGTTATTCTTCCCTTTTTTTGATGTATGTCATGTTTTGTTTTCGTTACACCCGGAAAACGAGCTGTATGAGAACACAATTAGATTGTATTTGGTACTCTAGAATGATATTGATTTTAAAAGGGCTTTGACGGTATTTTCATTTGAAATGGTATATCTAGGTTGTTAAAATCAAGATTATCTATGATTTTTTTCGAATGTGGATCTTTGATTGTAAAGTTACACTGGGATCCTAAGATCCAACAAAAATAACAAATTATGTTTCATCCATCAATTGATCATTTATAAATTTTAATAGTTTCAAAAATTAGTCATAACTCGTATTATCTAATCTATTCTAACATAACAAATGGTGGTATGTTTCAATAACATACACCAATTAGACAATTATATATTTTATTTTTATAATGAGTGTGTTGTTATAAAAATCCTTAATGATGTGACGTGTGTGTGAATAGAACGGACCTCACACATGTGTCCAATTGGCGATTCATTTAAGTTTCACCTTTTATAATTTACTCTTTTTTTTTCAGTTAAATATAAATAATCGTACAATCACATTTGTCTAACCATAAAGCCGATTTACCAAGTAAATGCACCAAATGACTAAAATGAAAAAAACTTTAATAGTTAACCAGGGATGTGAAATGTTCAGAAATAAAGGGGCCTAGGATGAAAATGTTTAGTTTTATAACCTCTGCTGGCGGGAAAAGCAGAGAGAATCGCGGGAATTGTAATATTGAAAACAAGGAACGAAACTATTTGGAGTTTCTCACCCACGCAAAGCATTAAACATATAGGAAGGAAGCTAATTGGCAATGGAGAACGCCGGCGAGGCGGACCAAATTGCTGCGCTTATCATACCTAGCACGGACTCGCAGGAGGAGGAGATACAGTCTTGCCATTTCACACGCGAATCAGAGGTGTTTTCAGGCGACATGCAGTTGTCTTCATCACCGGAAGAGGCGTCGGAACAAGCCACTGGAATAGTAATGGTATCTATGCAGGAAAGCTCTGATGATTACCAAACTCCTCCAGAACATCACCTTTCATCTCAGAACTCCAGCAACGACGGTCAGGTGACTACAGTTGTTGATCTGGAAACGGGAAGTGGTGGAGTTGGAAACAGCGAGACGATGGTGATGGATGATAGTTGTGAGCGGATGATTGATCTAACCACCGACTCGGATAATCTAGAGTTTTTGGAAAACAGGGTTAGGGTTAGGGTTCTCGAAGTCGAAGATAACAATACAGTGATGGCTGATGAGAATAATACTAATACCGAAGAGATTGAAACGCAATATGCCGTTGGGGAAACTAATGCTGGTAGTTGTGTTGCAGAAGCTCTTAAGACGCTGAAGGAGACCGTACCTAAAGTGTTTGTAGAAATGCCGGTGAGAGAACAAGAGACAGAAAGCAAAACGAGCTTAAACTTGGATTGCAAAGGAAAGCGACAATTGCCATTTTCAATGAAAGGGAAAGAGAAAAATAATATAGAAAAGCATGAAGACGTATTTACAGATATTCTGAATCGTGCTTGGAAGATACTGGTGGAGCAGCAGAGAAAATGTGGTGCTGAGGCTGATGGGGATGATGACCTTCTGGAGACTGCAATGCGGAGGGGCTTGACTTTACCTCGTCCCAGGTGGTGGCCACCAGAAGAAGAAGAAGAAGATGGTTTTGAAGGTTAAACCGAAACATACATACATGCATTTCATAAGATGTTATGGTAACATTAACATACATGATACATTACTTTTTGTTTCTGATTGCTGAGTGAGGCTTGATGATACGTTTGTATATCAATTAGATTAACTCTTTTATTATGGAATACAAGTTTGCACATCTTTGCTAGTTGTAGTTCTTGAAGGATAATTGCTCGTACATATTGGATATGGACCTTTTGAGTAACGATTAGAATGGTCTTCTACCTAACCTAGTAACCTACATAACATACATTATACTTTTAATTATGTCATTATTAGGTCATTATACTTTACATTGTAAAAGTGAAGTATGGTACAATAAACAAATGAATGAAAATGTGTTGCTATTTTTTGCATCAAACCACACAAAAGCGACTCACGTTTCTGTTTCCCTAAGGAATTTGTATGATTTGAGCGAATAAAAAGAGCCAAGGAGTAGGTGAAGCAAAGGAGATTAATGAAGATCCAATCAAAAGGTACTTTTGAATTGTTTTTTTCTCCATATAATTATGAATACAGAACACAGAAACCATGTTTTAAACTTCTAATAAAGACACCAATTTGTCCATTTATCTTTTCATATCTTACAATTTGGTTTGTTTTTTCCTTGGAGTAAATGCAATGCAAGAAATAACGATGTAGTGTGTGGACTATATAGTATAGCATCCTACTTTTGATTTTCCTATTACAACTTGGTACTTCCAAAAATATTCCCAATTATAGCAATTTTATCCAAATAAAATCATTTGAGTAAAATATTTAAAGCACGATGGCCTAATTATAAGAAAAATATTGAAAGCGCTTTGCCCCTATATAATTAATAGATTTTTTTTTGATAGAAAGAACAAACAATCATTTTTCACTTACGATCCATTATAATCATAAGAGTAAAATGGTCATTTATTTTCATCATTTAAACTCTTCATTTTTGTTTAATTACAACTAGAAAGGTTACCCCCGCTACACGAGGGCTAGAAGCTTTCAATGTTGTTTTCGAATCAATAAATATAACAGACGTAAAAAGTGTAAGGATGAAAAGCCTGGATTTTGCCATAGATTGTTTTTTTTTCATGTTTTTATGAAAAAATATAAAAGTTTTGACTGCAAGAATCAGAAGTGTCAAAATGATTAATGAATTAAAGAGGTAGGAATTAACAATTTTTTTGAAAAGGGATCAAAGTTGTAAAACCATTAAAGTTTTGTGATCAAACTTTAAATATTAAAAGTTTCCTAAAAAATGTAAAATTATTAATTGTAAGGACCAAAAGTGTTAAAATGATTAAAGAATAAGAAGCAAAGTTGCCAAAAGAAATAGCAAATTTACTATTCATTTCTTTAATATATATATATATATATATATATATATATATATATATATATATATATATATTAATTCCAAATCACTACTTTTTCTTCGTCAACTGACTGAAATATAACTACTTACTACTTATAAAATAATAAAAAAGTTGACCTTGTAGTTAAGGAAAATGGTAGGTGAGCCCATTAACTTTTTAAAGCTTTTAAGTTAAAAGAGAAATTAAATTGGTTCCTACTTTTATGCCTACAAATGTTACTATCCAATAAAATTATGACAATTATCATCATTTCATATTTTTTTAACTAACTCATTAAGGTTATATTAGGAATATATCAATTACAATTAAATTGAATGGTGATTTATCATAATTTTAATAGGTAGGAATAATTGTAGGCATAAAAAGTAGGAGGTAATTTAATTTCTCTTAACTTAAAATAGGTAAAAATGTTTGAAAAGACTCAAATTATTGATATCATAGACCGATTTACATTTAACCAGAGTGTGTTTTGTATACTAATAAAAATATATAATCTGACTACGATTTATAATTGTATAAAGCTACTATAATTATATTCTAATTTATAAAAATGGTATTATCAAACTTATCGATCAAAATTCTACATTTATTACGGGTTATTTGATAGCACTTTGGTTGACTACTTTACTTTGACAAGTATAGTCAAAAAACATCCATACGCTCTAGAAGAAACGCCGTTCACATTCACACCAACTTTTCTAAAATGAAAAATCCCACTCAGCGTTGTCTTGTTTGCTACCGAATGCTAAAGATATCAACCTACATAAAAAAAATATATATAATTAAAATGAATGAAGATAAAAAACTTTAAATATTACTGTAATCATTGAAAAAAACAAATAAAATTAATGTCACGTCACGCAATATTACTGTAATTGCAAAAGCATATAAATTATGTTGCTACGAATTATAAAAAAAAATACGTTCCAATAAACAAGTAAAACAATATTTTTTTAGTTAAAACAAGCTAGTGATATTCAAATCCGCAATCGCTTTCCTTGATGAGTCGGTCTTTCCGTATCTTCTACCCGTCTTCTATGTGTGAAACGGGCCATGCTACCAAGTCAAAAGTGTATTAAAATCTAAACGGCACAATATATCCTTTTAAAATTTTGAAAACTTTACTTTAATCATTATATTTTGAGTTTTCATATAAACATTCATTATAAATGATAGATAAAAAACCACAAACTAAAAACATATGAAAGAATAAACAAATTAAATTGATCAAAATTTAATGGTTATTTTATAGCAAATTACATCATATAATATTTAGAAATTAGAAAGGTTCTTTCTACTATTTTGTTTCTACTTGACATTTTCTTGTGCTTTCGGTTTTCTTAAATTTAAAAGTAAATTCCACAATTTATTTGGGTTTATTTATGTTATAGAAAATCATTAAATTAAATTTCAATAACCATAAAGAAAAACTCTCTACAACCACAAATTAGGCAATAATGAATTCTTCCATAATTTAATATTTACACATCATAATTTTCACTTATACATTAACTTCTTCATGAAAACAAAAATGTTATGGAATATAACTATAAACAACGAAAATTGTTTTCATAAGCTTTTATTTATTAATATATATTGAAAAACTTGCTTTATTCATTATATCCGTAATATTTATGTAAAAATATTACTTAAAAAAAATACTTGATGTTTATAACTTTATACTCAACATTTTTTTGATAAATTAATGTAATACACGAGTTTCATATCTAGTTTTGCATTATTGTATAAATGAATTGGTTAATTAAATTTGCAACGAAATCACAAAGATGCATGGTGATTGTAAAACTCCTTTACTTGCCTGTTTACTATATATAGCTCATCTCCTCAGATTCCATTTTGTAGTTTATTTTAATAAAGTAAACTAGAAGTTAAATAGTTTTATAATGAACTAATGATGATGGATGCATAATATATAAGGAAAGATTTTGTAATGATATTGTCTATACAGATTAGTAAATATGAGTACGCAAGTTGCAACTCTCTTTTTGTCTTCTCTAGCAGGAAGCAAGCATCGTGCAATGCCGGCAATGAAGTGCTATTTGAAGCATTATATGTGAATGCACACAGCCCACTTTTGGTTGTCTCCTCGACTCGCCTATTCATGAACTGTATGCATACTTTATTAATGTGACATTAATTCATGGGGTTTTAATGAATTCCAAACACTATTTGCATAATTTATGTCACGATGCATAGATACAGCCATATAATTAAAATATTAACAAATATATGTTATTTAAATGTATGTGTATAATAATAATTTTTATACTAAGTAATACATTGTAATTATTTTAGATATATGATAAGTTAAACACATGTTAAAACCACAATGGCTAATGCGTTGATATAAATAGTCGTAATTGTTTGAAGTATATGGTAAAATATGCGTATATTAAAATCATATCATTTCAATTATCATTATGCATGGCATCTTTTTTAATTTACTGTTATTTTTATTTTAATTATTATAGTTAATTAATTTAAATAAATATATTTTATAATCATATCATCTAAATACTGTGTGCGGGTTACATGTGAACAAAAATAAATTGAATTTTGATTATGTATTTTTTAAGTATTGCTATGATTAATTAATTTCTAAATAACTTATTTATCAACGTTAAAACATAAGAAAATACATAATTTGGATAACCAAATATAAGTATATGAATATAAATATATACATTATTTATATAATTTATATTATACAAACAAGTTATTTTTATTTGAATCAGATATAATATATTTAACTTTTAATATAATAAAACTTGTTTTAGACGTAATTTTATAATTTATTTTAATCAAAAGATAACAGATTAACACATGACATAATTTATCATCATTATTTTCGCAAGTTTTCCGAAACTTGCTTTGGTCCAATAGGATGTGGAATGCAATTTTATTGCATCAAGTCAAGAAAGACTTTTCATCAATTTTGGCAGGATTTCGTCATTTCCATATAGTAATAGAATGACTCTTGACACTTTCATGTTTTTCTTACAAACTTTATTATATATTTAGTAAACATTTATTGCATACCTTCTTAATAACACATTCCTTTTCAGTTCTTCTATAAGGTCTCTTTTAAAAATGATTCGTATATACATACCAATTTATATTTTACAAAATAAAAAGTTAAAAACATCTTAGATCTTAAATGAACGAAAACGCTTATTAAGCAAGATTTTTATAGATCGAGTGATTGACCATTTCACAATTCACAGACACACACACATATACATGCCAACCCTTCACTTTCCCCTAAACTTTGACCAATTAATTTATTCCAGAATTAGCCCCACACGCACCAAATGTAGACCATAACTCAAACTCCCTCATGTCAAATAATCAATCCGCACCTTCCTTCCATTTTCCTATGCAGTTACTCCATCACGCGCAATTCTGTATACACACATATTTATATCTCTAATCGATCGCATCAGCACTAATACATCGAATCTTACTTGATCATTCAACATAAATACACCGGATCCTGTGTACTGATCTTTCATAAACTTGCGATCGACAACACCCAAAAAGAAAGCTAAAGAAATGGGAAACTACGCATCAGCATGCAGCCTCATGATCTCCCCTATAATGAAAAGCAAC